AAAGCATTGGGATTTGACAGTTTAGCTATAAAACAGATTGGTTCATATCTTTGAGGTAGGAAACAAATAGTGGATGTCTGTGGGATTATATCTAAACCATTGTTCCTAGAATGTGGGGTCTCCCAGGGAAGTGTGTTAGGTCCATAGTTTTTTCTATTGTATATTAATGATATGAAATCTGCATGCTCATGTGAACTTTTTTTATATGCAGATGATTCTGCATTAATGGTATCGCACAAGGATAAATCTGTGGTCGAAAACGTCCTGAGCTTGGAATTATTTCATATCAGTCGATGGTTTTCTGACAACAGGTTGTCACTCCATCTTGGTAAAACAGAGGCCATACACTTTGAATCAAAATATAAGCTAAAGAAGGCCACAGACATTAATATAATGGTAGGAGACACTGAGATTCCAAGCCAAGGAATCTGTTAATTACTTAGGATGTGTCTTAGACAATCTTTTATCAGTTGAGTGTGTGGCTTAGATGGTGCTCACCAAAATCAACCAAAGAATCAGATTTCTGGCTAGAATCTCATTTTTTTTTTAATAGAACAGCATTAGAGACCTTGGCAGGGGCTCTAATCCAGTGTCATTTTGATTAGGCATTTGGGATTTTTATTAGTTGTCAGTTTTAATCATCACAATTAAATGAAATAAACATTTGAAATATATCAGTCTGTGTGTAATGAATGAATATAATATCCAAGTTTCACTTTTTGAATGGAATCAACTTTTTGATGATATTATAATTATATGACCAGCACCTGTATTATATTTTTGTAAGCCCAGCATTAATTTCAGGAAATACATCCATCTCTACCTTACCTATTCTGTTATCTGACCACTCAGCGTTTTTATGTAGCATTTACCTGCCCAATACAAAACCAAGGGCACCCAGATGGTGGTTGAACACATCTTTGCGTCACTTAAAGCTCAATTACGTGATTTCTTAGATATCAACACAAATAAATTCTCTAACCCACAAGTTTTATGGGAGGTCACAAAATGTTTTATTGGGGGTTTTTGTATATCATATTGTTTATGTTCCTAATCCTGCTTTTTGCCTGCTTAATGATGGCTCTGACATTACCTTCAAGCAAATTCAGTATAAAATGGTATTCGCTGAGTTTACGTCTGCAAAGAAAACAATTATTAACCACTGGTTCTCCCCTGATGTATATATGAAATCGTTCTGGTTCCACAGCCTTGTTAACATTGTCAATCATAGGGGAGAGCAGGGGCGAAAGTACCATTTTTCAGAAAAACCTGATTTTAAAAGATAATGTTTCAGACTGAGATATATCTTTGCTGTGGTCACTAACTCACAGGTTCTATCAATATCAGGTGGTATTTTGTAGAAATGTAGAACGACTTCTGTATAATTTCACTTTAAACATAAGTGGCACATTGACCCCGTCAGCTGGGATAAAAGTAACACAACAATACAAACTGCATTTTTTGTGTTACCCTTGTATTTAATAAATAAACATGACTGTGACCTTGTTAATGTGTAAGTGCAAACATCTTTTGTCCTTTATCTTTAAAAAAATAATAATTATAATAATAATAAAAATATTCAGTTTCAAAAGTAACCTTGAACCTTAAACTTGAATTGTTTAGAATATTTCATGTTATATTAAGGATATATTATAAATATATAATATAAATATGCAAATGTGTGCACCTAAAACAGGGAGTAAATGGTTACATGGATATTGTTTATGAACCTGACATGATTAAAATAAGTTGAGACTTTACTGATCCTGCACACTGATATTTGCATGTTGCAGCAGTTTCAGAAACAGTGAAAAAATGAAACGTAATTTAGACAAAAATGAAAACAATAAAATTAAGATAAAAATTAAACAGCTATTAACAGAACATTTTGAAATTAATTTAAACTTGTTTTAGTAAGAACAGTATGAGTGATTGCATTTTGAGTGCTTTTTACTGACACCTACTACACTGACCTCCTTAGGAGACAGGCCAAAATAAAGATCAGCCGCTCTCTCAATATAGGCATGCAGCTTCCTCTCCTAGTCCAAGAAGAAGACTTAATAATGTGATCTGTACCTGTGGTCTAGTCTTCTCCACAATTATCTCTGCCCTCCTCCTGCATTATCGGAACAAAGCGCATGGCATATGGCATGAGACTTTATCAGCTGACCTGAGACTAATGTTTGTAATATAGATGTCCAGAAACGCCTCCTCATAAACATCTGGCAGAATCAGACCTCTGTCTCTATGACCCACCCTATTGGCATATTCTGTTGGTATAATATAAACATGTTTTAATAAATGCTGCAACACACAGAAAAGTCACCACATAGCAGCGGGACAAAAGAAACACTTCTTTTGGTCAGGTGTAGCGAGACAGACATATCAACACGATTTATTTTTACACTGAATAACTCTGACAGGGCAAACTTTAAAGTGTGTTAAAGCACTATATAACCTGTAGATTAATCCTTACTGTGACACATGAAACGAGAGACACAACTTGTAATTCGAAAAACAGTCCCGCTTCAGAAATTTACTTGCTGTGCTCAAACAGTTTTCTGAAGACAGCTGCGGGAAACGATGACGAAATCATGCGATATTTGGCAGCTCCATCAAGGGTTGTGTGCTGAAGGTGCTGTCACAGCTTGGACTGCAAATGCAGTCAGGCCTCTGAGAAAATCGCCTTGTTACTTTTGCACCGGTTTACCCCTACTGCTGCAGGACTCAACAAGGCAACACAAAAAAAAATACTATTATGTAAGAAAAAATCTCAACAGTTAGGCTAATGAACATGAAAATTTAAAATAACAACACTTACTACATGGCCAGTGTCTTTGTCCACGTACACTGGCATTATGGATTTTGATATAAATGATGAATATAGTTTTCAATGTTGGTGTGAAGTCACATGACCTGTGTACTTGACCCATCCACCCTTCAGTGTTTTTTATGATATAACGTGCACCCACATAATGTCGTTCCCCCCTACAGCCTGTCAAATAACTGCATCCCCCAAGATACAGAAACCATTTAAATATAACTAAATGTTCTTTCTACAACGGTTAAGTCATTATATAAACTATCTGACATCACAATACTTAGTGACAGACAGAAAGAATGATGAACTCAGACATCAGTCCTCCTCCTTTCTCTCTGCTTTGCAGGTAACGTTGCTGCCTGTAGAAGGGGGAGCGGCTGGTTTGTCTCAGCCCGCAGTTTACTACAAGAATGTGCCAGATTTTAAGGTCTGTGGCAAACTAAGCTAAACAGTTAGCGAGCTTTCAACTTAGCTTGCTTGTAACATTCGGGTAATTGCCAAGCGTGCTGTGCTTGGGTAAAACAGAGGATGACAGAGTGTGGACAGAGCAGATTAAAATATCACAATCTATGTTTTTGTACTTGTTGAACAGGTGTATTCTAAGTATTGGCTTTTTACTAACGAATGTTGTATTGCACATACTTGTATAATAATGAGCGTAGCTGTCGTCAGGCCAAGTAATTTGGATTTACCTTCACTGTCTCCACTGCAGCTGGCTGCCGTGTGTTTGCGCGTTTGTGTGTGTGTATGTAGGAGTTAACAGGGAGCAGGCAGAGGCCGCAGCCTGATAATATACACTACAGTCTTTAGCCCCAGGACAGTTTATTTCAACATTAGTTTTCTTATTAATCACGTCTTCACTGATGTGTCAAACTAAAAGTGACTTCATAAAATTCTGACGCAGTGGCAGCCCACCACTGCAAAATATACATAGTGGAAACCCTGAACAGCGTGCATGTATATGAGACCCAAACATAGCAGTATTGTTTTTATGTTTGTTTTGCTTAAGTGCTGTGAAAAAAATACTTGTAATTCTAGGGAAACACATGTTTTCTATATATTACATCCATATTTTGGCAAATTCTGGGTTTTATAGTTGATTCCAATTTCCGCATTAAGGAACTCATAGGGCCCTAAATATTGCTATGTCTTGTGTTGTTGCAATTGCTTGATGGCTGTAGCCATTCCTGTGTAACCAAATTCATGCGAATTTTAAGCAGACTTTGAACTGTCGCAAAAAAGAAAGAAAAAAGTTCATGCGAAATAGGTGCGTTTCCATCAGCTGGTTTGGAGCGAATAAACCAGGCAACGTAGTTGCATGCGTAGTTACGTCAGTAGTTGACGTTACATATAGCTGTAATAAACAAGACGTATGGGTTCCAAACCAGAAACAAAAGCAGTCCCATGGAACTGAGGGCCATTGATCCGAGAAAAATGGAGAGAGGTCCTCAGGAATGTGTTTCAAGCGGGCAAACTGCTACCAGCCATGTCTCCGTGTGATATGCCGGCAAGACGGCGACAGCGGAAACAGCTGATCAGACATGAGTTACAAGTTCGCTACATCAGAACTTATTCGGCAAAAGTGTTTCCATCTCCCATTTAGCCCATTAACAGTTTTTCAACAAAGGCAAAAACCACCTCAAGCAAAACCTTTTTATTAAGGATTTTTTCCCCTCGAATTTTGCCGTTTCCATCAACCTTTTCCAATGCGATACTTCAAAATGCGCATTAAAAAACATTGATGGAAACACGGCTTGTGTTAGCAAAGTTGTTAACTTGGTTGTTTTTGAGTAAGCAATTTAATCTGCACATGGACAGCTGGTCCTATTTACGACAGCGGTGAATTAGGCCTACACTCTGAAACGGTAGGGACCCCAAATCACACCAAATCTTCCAGAATGTTGTTTTAAAGGAATAATTAGACATTTTGGAAAATATTCTTATTCACTTTCTTTCCAGGAGTTAGATTGTCAAGGTGAACGTTAAGTAAATCTAAAGATAATATAGCCCAAACAAAGCAAAGATCCAAAAACAGGTTGCCCAAACAAGGTGACAAAACTATAATCCAACCTCTCTTTTTCCTTTAGTAATTTTTAATACATGGTTGTAGATATTTCCAACTGGATTAACTCGTTTATGCTGCTGAGAGTAGTTTGCCTGGTGCTTCACAATGTCTCACCTCTACGTAGCAGTGCTCTCTGTCAGGCCTCTTGCTGGGGAATGACAGATCCATAAAGTCCACCAAGTAGTCGTAGCCATCAGTAAGGGGTTCAAAGTCGTCATCTGTCTCAATCACCTTGAATATACATTTGCATTTCATCAAACAGACATCCAATTTGAACAAGTTGGCAATAGAAAGAAAGGAAGTGAGGCTCAGCCAGTTCCTGAAAAGCAGCTGAGGAGGAGCACTCAAAGCTGGAAGGAAAGGAAGAGGTGATATGGAAACAGACCAGAGTGCTAGCTTTTAAAATCTCAATGTTGCATGATCAGTTTTCATAGGGAATATTTCCTCGTCGAAGGTTCTTTTGAAAAATGTTCCCAGCGAGGTCTGTGAATTATCCAGAGACATTTTCCAGTCGGCATCTATCCCATTGTCTTGGGTGTGGTAAGTGAAATCTCAAAAGCTCTTATCTGCAAGGCTAAAAGTGTTTTGTTTTTATAATTTGGGTAAACTGGCCCTTAAAAATGGAATTGCATAGTTTCCCCAAACTTCCAACTATATGTGTTTTTTTAAATAATTCTTTTTTATAGCAGAGCAAGTAGAGGTGTGACAGGAAATCAGGGGAGAGACAGGGGATGACAACAAAGATCACTGGCTTGAATTGAACTGAGAATGTTGCAATTACTGCACCGAAGACCCTCAGGCCAGGCCAAGTATCGTGCCACCAAAGAAAATGAGAGAACTCAGAAGAATTTATGCACAGGAAGAGCCAGAAGTGTCTGCAGTACATGTTAGAAAAGAACAGAGGGGATCTTGCTTGTAGAGTATATTTACCCGCACAACAAGGTTGTAGTTTTGAAAGCCTGCCCAGGTGTAATAAAACTGGATCCAGCTTCGATGTTTAAATATCTCAGAGGTGATGGCGCTGTTCAGTTCATCCACATACAAGTCGAAATCCCAGCTGTCCTTGTAGATTTTTGCACTGGCTGGGGGATTGGTGATGGCTTCACTATGTTTGGTAGTGTAGTAAAGGAAATATTCAAATAGTAGATTAAACTTTAATTAAATTTATAGGTATTCATGTGTGCAGTTCTAAAGGTACAGTTTTCAGTGATAACAGGCAGATTTACCATTCAAAAATCTTAGTCATTTTTGAGGCAATGCAGGGATTTTAGATAGAGGTAGACGAAAGCAGCTTCTCATTTAATCTTAATGCCAACTCTGTGGGCTGGATTGAAAACATGATCTCCAACTAACTTTTTTTGAAACAAGGACCACGTAAAAAGGTCTTAAATATATAATTAATGCCTACATAAAAAATATTGTGCTAAAAGACTGAGGCTGCATGTCAGTTTAGTTACACCAACAAGTTGATGACATGGGATAAAACATACACACGCATACACACAAAGGTGTTGTCAACCTGTAGTGGGGTCTCTCAGAGCGAGGCCGAGGTCCAGCACAGCGCCTGGCTTTGGCGTCCATGTCTTGATGTCTGGTGCATGCTTATTGATGAGCGCATTGAGGTCCTCTGCACTGTTTTTAGTATTTGTATCCTTAATGTATCTGTGTACACACACACACACACACACAGTAGGAACATATACAAACATTAACTTTTAGATGGACCCAAGAATACCAATATGCCAGCTTTGTACCTGTTACTGTTTAGTCATATTATATTACTTTCCAAGATAAACTGCCTATCAACTATTAACCAAGTCTGACATTATTCAAACCCATTTCTCTTCGGCTGTTAATTATTTATCATCTATTGATATAGTATAGGTCCTGGTCAATCCCTCTGTACAAACTTTACCTGTCTGATGGATGAGCCTCCACAAAATAGCCAGCGAATGGGCAGTAGATCCTCGGCTTCAGGGACTTCACCAGCTGAGCTTTGTAATTCAGCAGCTTCTTCCTTTCATTCTTGACAAACTCTGCCTTCCAGGAATCTGCGTACAGACAAACACCATCATCTTTATGTCAGCGCTGTGGTATACACCAAATTTGATAGACTAAACTGTCAAACTCACGATGTGTCAAAAATATTCCAACTTATCTACACTGCGGTGTGCAGTGATGCGAAATTCCCAATCACTTATCTATTTATTTATTTTTATTGCAAGACAAAATACACAACATAGACATGACGATACAAAGGGAACAAGAAGAGAGAAAAGACAAAAGAAACAGGTACATGACAACAATATCAACAGCAGCAACAAAATTACTTAATCTTGCGTGTGTAGGTACATGTGCGTGTGTATGTGCTTGTATATGTGTGTGTATGTAATGCGTCCCATATTGTCAAGGAAGAGGGATGCCTATTGGATACATAATAGAGAGAGGCAAAGAGGCTGGTGGGGAGTTACAAGTGGAAAAAAAAGCTAAACAAAAAAACCCTATGATAACAATAGCAATAAAAAGAAATAGAGTCAGCAGCCCCCCTGACAGTGAGGCAAAACAGGGGCACTGCCCGGGACACCGGGGCAGGACAAATTCCCAAACACTTAGATGAGCCTCACCACTGTATTTCCCTCCATAAAAGGTCATGGGGAATCCAGATGCACCCCCAGCAAAGTCACTCAACATTAAGTCCACATTCAGAGGCAGCTTGCCCCCGTTTGGTCTGGTGCAGTCCACAGTGTTCAGGATCATGTGACCTGTGATCAAAAACACTTTTAAACAATCCATCATATGTATGTTGGTATTTAAAATATGAACATCACTGAAAAGCACTAACCTTTATATTCAACAATGATGCAGGTGTCCATTTCAGGATGTACACCATCCATCAGGATCATGAATCTCAGGTGTTCGTCAATCTGAAGCCAGGGGAGAGATCAGTGAATGGTTACAGTATTGCTATTTTTTGCTGTAACAGAGTTTTATTATTTGTATTTCATTAGAGCAATTTATATTTTAAAATTTTAAATGATTTTCATTTTGTAATGTCATTATAAAAGGACCAGATGTGAGCAGCAGTTACTTACATCTTGCCAGACACCAAAAGGAACAATGTTGATGTTGGTCAGCTTGACTCGGCTTTGCTCCAAATACCTGTTGCATCAAGACAGAAAGAGGGACATGTATAAAATGGAATAATTGTAACTTAAAACATGTTTCAAATGTGAAACATGTGTCAAATTAACAAGATGTAATGGATTAAACTGAGCTCCATGACTTTACTAACCAAAAGACAGGTCTCACTGTGTCACCAACATAAATGGGGACATCTGGCCTCCTCTCTGACAAGACTTTCAGTGTGGGGTAACTAGAAAAGATAGGAAAGGTCAGATGACTCCGTGTATGGCATTAGACATTCTTTTACAAACCGTCTGTTGATATTTAAATGAATTTTAAGTTAAAAATATAAGACTATAACTATAAGACTATCACACTGTGCGAGAGCATAATTATGTAGATAAACCAGTTTTCCATGATCCCCTTTCATCTGCGTTTTGAGTGAACCAGCTCGGCACACCATATGAACAATAATAGATGTATGCACATACAAATACACACGTAAGCAATATTTTTCATGACAGACGCAAAGTTCCAAGGCAAACAAAGGAGGGACACCGAAATTCCCTTAAATTACCGGTTTATTCACAAAAACATAAACAAATTGCAAAAAGGGATGGGATGGCAGTAAGGTCAGTGCTGTACATGAGTGGATGTGTGGGAAATATGGTGTGCAGGTGTTGGTGGGAAAAATCATAAACAAAAAAGCGAAAGAAACTGTGGGCCCACTGCCACTCAGCCCTGCCTAACAAATACATGAACATGCAAGCAACCACAACCAAATATACCAGAGGGCAGTGACACACACCTAAAGTAGGCTAACTGTAGTTTACAGTACAGAAAATGAAAGGCGTAATCAAATTATATGTAAATCTTGTAAAAACAGGGATTACATACAGGGATTACTTTAAGCAGAAAGTTTCCATGAAACAGAAAATGAAGTGCTATTTGCTATTTACGTGTATACTTAGCTAGGGAGGAATTTGTTGCAGATACTGACTGGCGTGTGGTTACGGCCCCACACCGTTGTGCAGAACAAAGTCCTTTTAGGCAAGTCATGCCACTCATCAGCTATCTTGTCAACACAATGAATGGGGAGAGAGCCAGAACTGCACTTTCACTGTTCACCGGGACATAAAAACTACATGAATAGAATCAGCATTAAAATCTGATAAAAATCGCTGAAAGTTTGACAACTTTGCCCCCGTTTTTCCTGAAGCACATGATTGGCTGAAATATGTTTCCCGCTTTGGCTTTTTTGTCCTTTTTTTTTAAGTCATCTTTATTGCAAAAATAGGATATAGATAACAAGTGACTTACCAAAATATACATAATAATATACAATACAGTTTTGCCAGGGAAGCTTATAGGCCATTACAAAGAGAAAGAGAACCAGATGTTGATAGTTTAAACTGCCTTTTTGTTGTTGGGGCCAGAAATCAGATTTATATAATTTACAACTTCATGGAGAAAAAGTACAAAATTAGGTTTTTTAATTTTTTAATTTTCATTTATGAATGTGAAATTTTGCCAAAAGAATTAATACTTTTATAATGAAGTGCATCTATTCTTTACTTTGACTTCTATTAAAGCAAAATACTACATTCTCCCACAATAAGGCAAAGTCTTTATAAATATAGTCATTGATGAATCTGCTGAGGTTTTGCCAAAATGTTCTGGTGTGTGTGCAATACCAAAAGAGGTGCAAAACAGTTTCTAGGTGGTCTTCCCAAAAAGAACAGTTTGTATTGATGTCTCTTTTAAATTTAACCATGTAATGATGAGCAGGGTAATATCTGTGCATTATTCTGAACGACACTGCTTTCACCTTGTTTACTATCATGTGCTCTTTGTATTTCTTAGTAAGAATCCACCTTGTTTAAATATATAGTCAGGCACAGTCCTCCTTTTGAGGACCTCTTTTATTAACTTGGTTTGTTATTTTCACAGCACCCTCATCCACCCTCTTTTTGTTTATGTTTGTTACCTGCCTGTATGTATGTATACGCCTATATGTTTATGGCCCCCTACACCCCTAGACACCAGGGGTCCCTAGACAACAGCCTGTTCTTCTTCTCCGGCAGAACAGCCTGACAGACCTCGTTGGCCTTCTTTTGTATGTTTTCCTCATTCTTCGACTCCAGGAGCCATGTTTTCCTTAGCATCTTCAGTCGCCTTCCTCAGTGCGAAGTTTGCACAGCTGGGGAAGGATGTGGCCCCAAACAAGTGGACCACCATTTTGTATTCTTGCAGAGGTTTCTTCAAGTTTCCCTCTGGCCACCAGAGGAAGCGCAGCAGGTCACTATCTTCAGGTGGTACACGTACTTGGTGGTAGATAGCTTCTATGTCTGACATTAAAGCTACATGGTCTTGCCTGAATCGTGTTAAAAACAGATTAGTAAGTTAGTTCAATCTGCTGTACCAACAGGTTCTCCACACTAGCAATAGAAATGCGATTCACAGAAACACAATACAATACTTTCAGATGGAGTGTTGTAACTGTCTCTCCTGAGAGGACCATTGATGACCCAACCCAGGATTGTTCGAACTGCATATGGACCATTATCCTTACTGTGAATTACTTCCCATGGTTCCATAGCCTTGTGTACATCACATCCTATTACAAGTCCAATGTCTGCATCTATGTGTGGAAGCTGGATTCCTTGCACATGTGGCCAGTTTTCCAAATCTTCAGGCACTGGAATGTTCTCTTTGGACACAGGAATATCTTTGTGGGTGTAGATCTCAGGTATGTCAATGTAAATGCTCTAGGTAATATAACCTGTCGCTGTCACTATCAGCTTTGTCATGAATGGTATGATCATATGCTCTTATGAAAGCTTTGAACTCAAGTGTATCGCCACTGAAAAGAGACACATCTCTCTGGGGCATATGTGACAGTCTTTGCCGTTTGACTAACATCTCAGTGATATCATTTTGTTTCAACATTACTTCTGTTAACATAAGATTGTTGTGTGTCAGTTTCATGTTTCACTTGAAGATCATCTGCCTTTAATTGGCCAATGTGCTCATAATTTACCATAGGCTGTTGGTTACGTAGCTGTGGCATTCCTGGTAAGACAGTCTCAGGATGAATACCTACATCACCTTTGCAGTTGTCATACTCACTGTTTTCCAACACTTGTATTTTTGACGTAGAAGCAGCAATAGCTATCTCAAGTTGTTCCTTGTTTTCCTTTAATTTGCATTCTTTGATGTCTAACGCCTGCCTCTGTTTTAGTGATGCTGCACGTGCAAGTAAGGCAGCACGTTCTGCTTGTTCCTTCTGTCGCACCGATGATATGGAGACTTTGGATGATCTTGAACAGCGGCAACTAGCTGAGCTCGTTGTGCTTTTTACTGCAGACTTCCTCTCCGCTGGTGTGGCAGCTACAGACACGCTGTCATCCTCCTGATGTTGTCGCCTTGATGTAGCTATCCATGTTTTACCATCAGTTATGAAACTGCTGAAGTGTTCCATTTTTGGCTTGAACCAATACATCTGATCAGCATCGTGTTCATCATCAGGTTACAGCAACAGTACATCATCATTTGAATGAGCAAACTCTTCTAGCAGTTTTGAGGATTCATTTAAATGTTCATCAACAATGTCCGGATTTTCATTATCTTTCATTAGTCTTTCAATCTTGCTCCTTTTTTATGTTAACTGTGACAACTTGGATCATCTTGCACCTATAAGCCTGCTAACTTGTTCTTCCAGACCCTTTTCGGTGTACTTTGGCGCCTTCTTTTGGCTACTCCGGCTGCAGCAGCTCTGAGCTCTTGACTTTGCGTCGTGTGAATCGTCCGCCATTATGGCACGACTTCTAGTTCGACAAATGTTCACAAATGATGGTCTATGACATAAAGCTCACCAGGCTTTCGTAATGAATATCATCTTCTGACGACCAAAACATTCTAGTCGTCTTATTCTCACAAGAAGTTGGGCAGCACCCTCATTTTAGCACGCTTCTGCAGCATAACAGCATTCTTTACTGTTTCAAAACTCTTGTCCTCATGTTTCCTTTTAACTTCTTTCCTGCAGTTCTTTGGGCACTTATCTGAAGCTTTACTCTTGTCCAGGTCTGTTCTGTTCTTGGGAAGGTGGTGGCTCTTGCGACGTGTTGTCATCGCCGTCGTCGTCATCTTGCTGTTGAGCAGGTTGTTTTACTTAATGTAGTAACAAACTTAATTGTTTGGAATTATAAACTTCAACTAAACTTACTTCTGTCATCATAACCACATTGTATGAACGACGTAAGACAGTTTTACGCGTTGAGTTGGCCCGGAGAGAACAAACGACGGTAAAACAACCTTGTTAGTCTGCCGTCCACACTCATTTATTTTATTTTTTTTTACAGCTTCCTTCAAAACTTCAAAATAAGAGTTCCAATACATAAGTTGCACCGAAATACCAAAATAAACACAAGAATGAAAGAGTAATAAATGTTATAACATAAACAAACTTGCTCCTAATAAATGGCGCTTACACCCTCCCAAACAAGCAGTGGAGAGAGGCTTCGGCAGGTTCTCTCAGGTGAAAGATGCGGTGGTTGGATTCTAGGAGGGTTTTCTTTTTACCTGTTTTTTCCTGCACTGCAAGGGTTTTCATACACTGATCTGACATAAGATGACAACCATAAGCAATTAAAAATTGGTTCATTACCTGTTTATTGATTTAATTTGCTTTGTGCAAAGATTATGATTAAGTGCTGAACATACTGAGAGTTCTTTTGCTGCTGTGGCCTTTACATTATTCTGAAGACATTCAATTCAGACTTGTGCCGTGTGAAGTTTTTACAGAAATGTTATTAGGTCTCTTGTAGTGATCACAGTTGTGACTTTAATGTTACAGTAACTCAAGCACTTATTCAGACATGAGACTTATTGTGCATTCAGACCAAATGCAAATTTTATTTCGAGTATGATCGCTGGAATACCTGGTGTTCACATACAAAGAAAGTAAACGCGAGTTTACGCGGTTACACACAACCTGGTTTACTAAATAAAATAAACATTTTGCTGTGATTTAACTGCAATAAAGAGATCAAAATGATGCCGAAAAAACTACAACATAATGCTGATATGTTAAACATCTGAATTTATGCTTTGTCAGATCTGCATCATATTTGCACAACATGGTGCATGTCTAAAAGGGCATTGCCAGGAATCCAAGTTCTGTTGTTGCTGCTTGTGTTAAAATATTTACGGTGTTGTCTTGGTTTACTTCAGTAAACTATGAGGTTGCTCACTCTGCAGGCATGAATGTTAGTCAGGTGTCAGCATAGGTATCATTTACACTGGGGACATGTCCCTACCACTTTTTAAAGCATAATTTATTAAAAAAAACAACAAAGGTTCTGAAATATAGCTTGCTGTTAAATAACTAATGAAAATGCCTTTAGAAAGGTGTATTTGCATACTAAGAAAACATGCAATGCAATTAAAATGTAGAAGAAATAAATGTTAAGCTAAAAAAAACAAGCTACTGATTATAAAATGACAACAAACGTGCAGCACCAATCAGTAACTTTACTAACTTCCAGACACAGCTTCTTTTGGCCAAGTTTTCTGTTCTCTCCCTATGAACATGACAAAAGAGGAGGGAAGACTAAATCATGTCTACATATGTACTACCTCAACATGTATGATATTACATGAGAAAAGCTGATCTACAGGGGAAACCGATCTAAAGGCATCACAGAATGACCGAGAGCTGCACTGACTTGGATTCTGTTCTATTTATATGTATTAAAATGTCACATGCTACCTGAATTTTATGTTTCCTTTTATATAAAACATTTCTACCATAAACTGGTGCAGAAACTTTCATCAGAATGCATGAACTGAAGTGTTTAATGATCAAAATTTCCTGGGGGAGGTACCCCCGGACCTGCCCTCATTTATCTAGGCATTGAATATATTAAAACATTGTTTAAGGATCTTTTCATCTTGTTCTCGTGAAACCAATATATCGCATTAGAGCCCGACGGATATGGGTTTTTGGGGGCCAATGGCGATGCCAATATTAAAGTGAGAAAAAAAGCCTATATTTAGATTTTGAGAATGATTTGGATAGTAGACCCCTTTACTATAATAACTACACTTAGAACAGGCCGATATTGAAAGCTGGTATGTACTGTATGTGGGCTATAAAACCTTTACCTAAATGGATTATGTTAATAAAATGGCAGAGAATCGGAAGGTTGGCTCCTCCAGGTTGCCTACTTGGGCAAGATACTGAACCCCGAATTGCCCCTTCCGCCAGTATATGACTGGTGAATGTAGATGTAGCTTTGAGTGGTCGAAAAGACTAGAAAGGCGCTATACAAATACGGAGCATTTACAGGCAGCTCACAGATATATTTAGAATACACCAGAAACTATAGGTGCATTGATATCACTCCCCCTTCCGGAACAGGCTGGACTGAGTGGCAAAACATCTGTTACCATGGCTGTGTTCAGCAGACTGGGAGGAAAACAAGTGATTATTTGCTCAAATTAAAGGCAGTCGGACTCGACAGTGATCCTAACTACTTTCCAAAAAAACAGTGGTCCAGCTCTTTCCCATTTTAGATGTGTTGTTTGTGTTTTAACTGATTTAAGCTAACACTGCTGCTCATCTTTCTGCCACTCAGTGAGCGTAAATGTATTCTGTGACATCATGCGCATACCGTCTATAGTTTAACGACTCATCAACGTTAGCGCTCCTCCACTGATAAACACAGCATTAACTTTGTGTCTGTAACATTACGTGATTTTAGAGAATATTTAGAAGTGATGAACTAGAGACAAATGTGGACTGTTCACTAGAACTGCCAAATAAATCTACAGTTACGTCTGTCAGCAGCTTCCAACACCCAACTACCGTGACATTAACCTGCTGTGAGCTGCTATGAAGCAGGGGGAGTGCAGTGTAAAATGGGAGGGTTAGCAAGTCATGAATGTTTTCAACACAAAGTGACGCACTTGTGTGCCAGCTTTTCAGGACAAGTGTTAGTGACACCACATGACAGTTTTTGAGGTTATTGATTTAACAACATTGCCAGAGTTTACCTGAGGTGGTCAGAGTGCATGTGGCTGATGTAGATGAGATCCGCTGCACACAGTCTGTCCAGTGAGTCTGCTGGAGGCTCATGGAGGAGCCACCAGCCTCTGGCAAATGCAGGACCCTTCAACCAAGGGTCGAACATGAACCGCCTCTGTCCGAGCTGCAGCTCCATGCAGGCGTGGGTGAAGTACGTCACCTGGGAGGGAAGTTCACAACTTTACATGTGGCAGATGTCACATTATTACCTTGATAATTCTGTTTTGTCACCGCAGACAGATCTGGAAATGATAATATGACAAAACTGTAAATAGAGGTGGCTACTGTGTGGACGCATAGTCATCATCATTCAATATAAATATTGGAATGTAAAATCTGGGGACTGGCTCAATCAGCAGAGAGACTGCTGTTCCCCTATCTTTACCGAGAGCTGGCTGCATAGAAGTGTACCAGAGGAAGGTGTCAGACTTGAGGAGGAGTTAATTCCGTGCAGACAGGACTCTGGAGTCTGGTAAGATGAGGGGAGGAGGACTGTGTATCTACATAAATGATGCTTGGTGCTCAAACGGTCAAGGGTCAAAGGGTCAAGCCAACAAACAAAAACAGTCAAAGTGTGGACAGATGAGGCTCCAGCAGCTCTGCAGGACTGTTTTGGGAGCACTGATTGGAGTGTGTTCAGAGAGGCTGCCGCCCAGGAGAGCCACATCAACCTTGAGGAATATACATCATCAATATCATCATACATCAGTAAACGTGTTGATGATGTGGTGACCACTAAGACGATAAAATCATTCCCCAATCAGAAGGCCTGGATGAATGGAGAGGTGAGGGATCTATCCAGAGCCAAAAAAGGAGAGCAAAGGGCATCAAGGAGGCAAAGCGGAGACATCAGCAGAGACTGGAGAGAGACCTCAACACCAACAACACCAAAGATATGTGGCAGGCCATCAAAAACATCCCAGGCTACAAAAGCAGGAGCTCCCCCATCATGTGTGAGGCCACATTACCAGATGAACTTAACACCTTTTATGCTCGCTCTGATCTCCTCAACAAGGAGTCAGCTGTAAAGTCTACTCCACCTCCAGAGGACCGGCCACTGTCAGCATCCACAGCAGATGTGAGGAATCCTGCTGAGAGTGAATATGAGTAAATCAGCTGGGCCTGATAACGTCCCTGGCGGTGTATTAAAAACCTGTGCCAATCAGCTAGTTGATGTTATTACTGACATTTTCAACATCTCACTGTCTCAGGAGAGGGTTCCCACCTGCTTCAAGACATCAGAAAGCTGTTTGTGGATTTCAGCTCAGCATTCAACACAATCTCCCCATGAAACTGATCAGCAAACTCAACACTCTGCAACTGGACACTGGACTTCCTCACAAACAGACCCCAATCAGTTCGGATTGGTGGACTCACCTCTTCCACTCTAGTGCTCTAACACCGGAGCCCCCCAGGGCTGTGTGCTCTGGCCCCTTCTGTTCAGCTCTACATCCACGACTGCATCCCCCCATATGGAGAGAACTCTGTTGTGAAGTTTGCGGATGGCACCACCATCATCGGACGAATTTCAAACAACGATGAGACTTCATGTCGGGAGGAAATTTCATAATCTTGCAGAGTGGTGCTCAGAACAACCTACTATTCAACGTCAGCAACACCAAGGAGCTGATCATTGATTTCAGGAAGGAGATAAAGACACACACTCCTGTCTACATCAGTGGTACTGAGCTGGAGCAGGTGAACAGTTTCAGGTTCCTGGGAATCAGCCTCACAGAGAACCTGACATGGTCGTCTCACATCTCCACGCTGGTGAAGAAAGCTCAGAAACGGCTTCTTGAGGAAGCTTAAGAAGGCCAAATTCCCACGCCAAGTTCTTGTCAGCTTTTACAGAGGTATAGCAATAGAAAGCCTCCTGACTGGAAACATCACAAACTGGAATGGGATGAGCACGGCCCAGGACCGGAGGGCTCTGCACATCCATGGGTGAGGCATTTACACTGCTCCACTGAAAATAGTTTATTTCTGTTTACCATTTTTATAATTGCTTTTATATTAATTTATAATATCTGCTATGTAGCAGGAGTTACAAATGAAATTTCACCTGTTGTGTTGTGACAAAATAAATCTACCTATCAACAATTTCATTGTGCTTACAAGAGTGTTACAACACATAGATATAAATGCAATTTTTAATGGTTGTTAAGCTTTTCTGCTGCAGACCTTGAATGTGAGACTAAATTGTGTCAAAAATGTCAATATTTCACCTTTTTACATAGCATTAATGTGCAATAAGGTGTAAAAAATTAGACTGTGAGAACAGCTGGATACATACTTTCACTTCTCCTTCCTGGAGCTCCAGAGGCTCTCGAGGGTCAGCGAGCCAGGGGTCCATGGGGCTCAACTCGACCAACTGAAGCCCCCCATCATCCAAGATCTCTACTTCTGTGCGTGACATAACATAAATGCTCATTTGCAGATATGGGTTACACTGTTCTGATATTTATAAAAGATAAAATAACAAGTCCATTTTATTTAGACTCACAGCTCCACGTTGAACTTTACATAGTCATTACAGAATTAATCAAGATTGCACACTCCTTTAACTTTCAAGAAGACGAAAATACTTACATTTATAATAAGAGGGATTTCATTTTGAACAGTAACTCAAAATGGAACACCAGATTACCTCATCGTGTTATCTATAAAAACCCCCAGCTCGTTTCCAGTTGACTGATACTACAGAACAGGTTTTTCTTCACCAGTGAAGCAATACCAGTGAACGCACGCAACTCTTTCCCTTCTACACCAACCCCATCTGTCACATATATAATAAAATGTATTTACACAGATAAATACGGAATAGGATGTGAGTGTTTGCAGACATCTTTGGTGTCCAGGAACTTCCATGACCCTCCTGTCAATGAATACATAATGTAGGTACTTCCCAAGCAAGAAGGGAAATGTTTCAGAACCATGCAGTATAGATTTGTTTAGAGTTTTGACTTGTACTCTGTCCCTACTCTTACCATTGTGGTGACTGTTCGGACTGTATTTTATACAGTTACAGTATTCATCATGTCCAATATTCACTCTCCTTTTTGCTCTGTTTTGTTTTCCTCCAACTCCTGAGAAATATGTCTCTTTAGCTGCTTAATGTTCCACTATGTTCACCAGCTGTCTGCTGTTTGGTGCTGAGCAAAGTCGGATTATCAAAGTTTGTCTGCTGCTGCTGGAAATGAGTGATGAGAAAAAAAAAGGATACTAAAACGCTCCTCAGAGCTGATGAGCTATCAAGTCTAGAAGTGTAGACTGAGGCAGAGAACTTGTGGCACTGAGGGATGGTTTTGTTTGGGGACACAGTGTTGCAGTTGCAGCTCCATGCAAAGTAGTACTCAAAGTCTATTTATGTTCCCTGTTGGCTCCACATAGCCAGCGGCACAATAGACACACAATAGGAGGGCAGACAAATGGTTTAAGTAGTGATGATTTGGTCAGTATATGTTTAAGTTCTCCCACGTGTGGAAACCTGCCAGCTCCTGCAATCCCAGAAGACAGTGGACCTTATAATGCAGGCCCCAGACTGTTCTGGTAAAATTTAGAGAAACACTGCAAATCTTTCTAATGTTTCTAACAAGAGCTCTAGCTCTAGCTCTAGATTGGCTTTTGTGTCACTGTGTTCTCTGCTGGAAACATTCATTCATTCAGTCATTAAATCATGGCCCAGAGTTTTCCAGGAAATGAGATTAGGCTAATCTATGTGCGCACAGCCATTGAAGAGGTGTGGTCCAACAGTGCAGTAAAATGTCTTTATGACTACCTCTTTATGCAATGCATAAAATGCCTTTTTCGGCACTGAGATTGGATATATTTCAAAGTATTTATGTAGATTTATCAAAATACAATGACAATGAATGATTAAAAAAACTAAAAATTGCAAAATAAGCCATAATAGAGTTTGTCCAGCACACATAGATTATCCTAATTTCATTTCCTGGAGAAACTGCTGGACCATGATACAAATAGTATAAATATATAATAGTTTCCAGCAGAGAACACATATTTAGGCCAGTAAAGAATGACCCTGTATGGGATACTTCTTAGACTCTAATGGCATAGCAAAGTGATAAATATTGTGGACCAAGAGACACTGTTTTGATTTGGTTTGGGACTACACTGTGTTCACACTGTATTGCTGTTGTCTCCCCTGCCAGGCTTCAATAAACAATCCTGTTTAAGACATCCTGAGTTTCCTGAAACCTATAGTAGTCTCCAAGGCCATGACGAAATGACATTAAAATGGTGGAGTGCCCCTTTAAATTGTCTTTTTTCCCCTGCACTTTAAAATACTTACATCTAAACACATGGCAGAACTTACCTAGCTCATCCTGCAGAAAGCTGTCTGGTGGATTCACATATTTCATTGTGGACACATTTAACTTCCAGTTGTGTTTAGTGCATTTAACAATCCTGTGAAAACAGCAACCTGTCTGTAAATAAAGGTTTGACTGACACATCATGATACCGGATGTAAGCTGTGAGAATGCTCACCTGCCATCCAGATCTTCGATGTCTTTGATGAATAACCCTCCTTGGTGTTTGCATTGGTTCTTGCACGCTTTAAGGCCAGTGTTGCTCTTGTATATGATGTAGCATTTACCGTCCTCTGGGTTTTTCTTTAAATTGACTCCCTCTTTGAGTGAGCCGACTTCTTCACTGTCCAGTGATAGCAACACCATTGCTATTTGAGAGGCCATTATTTCTAAGACAACAGATCAAATAAAAATGAAATTTCAAGTGGAGTTAAAAAGTTTTTTAAAAAGTTACTGAAAATGGTCATTTGTTGAATTTTCAGCATAAGGAGATCAAATTTACTGAAATCAAAAGTGATTTAAATCAAGCACATCTTAACAGGGCAAGTTACATGTTAACATAGGATCCCTTCTTTGATATCACCTTCACAATTCTTGCATCCATTGAACTTGTGAGTTTATGGAGAGTTTCTGCTTGAATCTCTTTGCAGGATGTCAGAATAGCCTCCTATTTTGATGCAAACTGCTTAAATGCTCACTTCTATTGACTTTTTGAAAACAGAATGTACTTATTAGTGTGGCTGAAAGAGACTATTTGCAGCGACAGAAGATGGAGAATAGACTGGAGATGGGAGATTGGGCGCAGAGTCAGAGAGACGGAGTATAATATAACTGACTTCCTTCCATAAAAACCATGGAACAGCTGCTAGTTACATTTTATTTTTTTACAACCGCTAACATCCTTTTGTCCAATCTATAGTCACATTTTCAAAACTCTAAACAGTTAGCCCCACATCGGTTTGTTCATACCATTAACACAATTCATGTTGTTTACACATGAATTGTGTTAATGGTATAAAAATATGCTGTAAGTTTTTCTTTAGGTACAATCTTACCCAATACCAAAACTATGGATGTTTGTTGTGTTATTTACAAATGCTTACACACAACATGTCAGAAATGAAGACCTTGTGATCAAAACCTTAAATATTGCATAAAGCCTCAACTTCTGCAATAAAAGAAGCTCAAAATCTATATTGAAACAGCTGATAAGCATTTCTTAATGAGCATATCAATGAAACATTAAGAAATAGCTGATTTATTGTAATTTGGGTAAAATAGATCAACCACAGCTAATTCCAATCTCAACCAGAGACATAGGCAGGTGTGGAAGTTCTTTCAATTACATACACAATGCAGTATAAAGGAGACTTTCTGGACTGAGTTTATTCAATGTGGATACAGACCAACACAGAGGTGTAAAGAAAGAAAAAATAATGTCTAGACAAGGCAGACAAATAGTTGGGCCAGGGAGAGTAGTAGCTCATCCAGGGAGAGGATTAATTAGACCAGAACCGGGGAGAGGGAGAAGGAGAGGTAGGGGGAGAGGAGTAGGATTGCGTGGTGGTGTTCAAAGCTGTTGTCACTAATGAAATAAGAGCAACCATCATAGATCATGTGATAAACCATGGTCTATCGATGAGAGAGGCTGGTGAAAGAGTTCAGCCTAATCTCAGACGGTCTACCGTGGCTTCCATTATCTGGACTTTTCAACAAACCAACAGGTGAGCAATTACAGTAATTTCAAATGGGCTTCCTCTATCATTACAGTAAAGTTAGTAGGCCACCAGTCCCAATGCAAAAACAGTATGTTGTATTTTTGTTCCTCTAGGACGCAACGTCTTCCTCCCTCTGGGGGAAGAGGAAAACTCCTCAGTGAAGACCAAGAGCATGTCATTGTAGGACTGGTCATTGTTGACAATGTAATAAAACTGAGAGAAATTCAGACCAGAATTGTTGAGGACAACGTGGTATTTTACAATGTGGAAAGCATTAGCCTGACCACCATTGCTCGGACTCTGAGCAAACACAGAGATCGGATGAAACAGTTGTACACAGTTCCTTTTGAAAGGAACAGTGAGCGGGTCAAGGAACTCAGACACCAATACGTCCAGGTATGGTATCTATCCAATATGCCTTGTTCTATAGTGAGTTTTATAATTTGTTGCTTTACATTGTAGTGATCAGCCAGTAGGGGGGGGGGGGGGGTTGAGATAACAACCCTCAACAGACAGCTGAAGCAACCCCAAAGGAGGCAGTGAAAGGTTTGCTTTCCCTAACTGTGGTTTTGGGCAGTTAGATAAAAACTTACTGCCTCTGGTGAAGCTGAGATAAGACTCGATGCCCTGACTGTTAAAACGACAATATCAACACTAACCAGAAACTAACTTTCATGGCATGTGGTAGCTTGTTTCACAATCATCATGTCACAGAAAAGGAGTCTATACCACACAATGGTGCGGCTCTGTGCCTGGAGAGCTCTGCCGTGTAGAAACAGACCTTGAAGTCTACGACCCAGAATCCTACATCTTTTTTAGATCATGCAAGAACGATTCTATCATTCACAATGCAAGGATGGGGACCCCAGAGCAACAAAAAGGCTACCCAGTGGTGGTCCAGTGGAGAGAATGGGATAGAACCCTTGATGTCTTCTCACACATTGATAAATTATTCAGATGGTATAAACCTTATGTTAGCTATGTAGGAATCAAAAGAAAACTTTTCAGTCCTGAGGACAAGGAAGATGAACAAAAAACAACACCGCAGAGAACCTCAAAGACCTCCATGACGGGGCTGACGGTGACATTGTTCTAATTAAAATGTTTTGTGCAGGTACGAGGACATGTGCAGCGGGTGAGGATCTATCGAGCAGCCCTAAATATTTTACTCCAGCAAGACGTTATCGATAACTCATGGGTGGATGACTATGGCAAAGAAATGGGGAAAAGAAATTTAACATTTCTCATTCCTGAAGAAAAATCAGAAGAGGACAAGAGCAGGTACAAGCGATTTAAGGGTGCCTGTTTGGACGCTCTGGACTGTTGCGACAAGAACACATCTCCCAACACTACTGCTAGCGGTATTATACAGGTAACCGCAGCTTATTATTTATACAATATACTGCAACAAAAGCTATACAAACATGTGTGTATTATGCATATACAGACAAATGGAGCAGAAAACAACCTCACACATGCATTCACACACTGCCCTTCTTTTATATCAAAGGACAGAAATTACGCAGAAGCTTAATTCTGTAACAAAGATCATGGAGGAGGTGATGAGGAATATATACTATACGACAGAAAATGCAGAGGGTTACGGAGGCAAGCAAAAAAAAAAAAGGCCATATTTGACACTACTGGGGTTCGGTACGCAGATTCAGACGTAGAAAACTGGCTCATGAAGCAAGATGCCTATACTCTACACAAGACGGCTCCAGTGCATTTTAAGAGAAACAAGGTTTTAGTGAATTCAATAGATTGGCAATTCCAGCTAGATTTAGTTGACATGTCTGCTTATTCTGCTGAAAATGATGGGGTACGCTATTTATTAACGTGTATAGATTTGTTTTCAAAAAACGCATGGGTGCATTGTTTAAAAAATAAGAGTGGTAAATGCGTCACAGCGTCCTTTAAAGATATCTTAGTTGAAGGTAGAATACTGCATAAAATTCAAACAGGCGAGGGAAAAGAGTTCCTAAACAAAGATTTTGAGGCGTTAATGAAAATTAATAGTATCGTACACTTTACCACATCAAATGAGACTAAGGCATCTGTAGTAGAGCACTTTAACAGGACTCTGAAATCTAAAATGTGGCGTTATTTAACAGCCAATAATTCTAAACGATATGTAGATATATTGCAGGATTTATTCACCTCCTACAATCATAGTTATCATCGTAGTATTAAAATGAAACCGATGTAACAAAAGACACTGAAGATATCGTATTTAACAACTTGTATAAAACAAAAGATAAAAGAGTAATTCTTTTTAAATATAAGGTGGACAATACTTTAAGAATTTCAAAACTATGCAGCCCTTTTAAAAAGGGTTAGGAGCAAAATTATACTGATGAATATTTCACTGTAAAAGAATGTGCGTCAAGGGACCCTCCTGTTTACAGGTTAAAAGACTATGACGGCGAAATATTACAGGGAACATTTTGTGAGCAAGAGATGCAAAAAGTTATTATAGATAAAAACAAAACGTTTAAAATAGAAAAGATTTTATCTAGAAAGAAAAGTCAAGGCAGGGACATGGTGTTAGTCATTAGTCACCAGGTCATTCAGCTACCTTAGCAGATTACAAACACATGTATAAATGGAAACAGAGGATTTTTGTCACCCTGCCCAGCAACTCGTCTGCATTTTTTTTACTCAGGCAATACAATAGCAAACTTTAGAACAAAACTATCCAAGCCTTTACACTTTAAATCAGCATACGAGGTGGGTTTGATAGAAATACAATATCCAAAAACATGGAAATCTTTTTTATCAGACTCAAGACTCAAAATTTGTTGTGTTTGATAAAAAAAATCCAGTATGAATAGAATAGAACTGTCAAAAGTCTTTGATATGGTAGTGAAGCAAGGCGTCTTTCTTGGAGTATTTGCTAGTGACCAGCTTCCTAAATCAGTTATTAAAAAGAGACCCGCCATGTTGGTGGTAAACACAGACCCCTCCCACCTGGGAACTCTCCGATATACTCACATTTTCCTGAATCCTTTTCTGTCTTTCTCAACAGTAATTGTAAGTCCACGCAACATTCTGTTAGACAAGTGCAAGATGTTGATTCTGATAGAGGGTTATCTTCTAACAATGTAATGACTAAATGTAGTAATAAACGGTCATGCAATGATTTTATGATGTGCAAATTTGTGAAAAAAATGAACCCCTGGTGGACAAAATAATTATGCAAAATGTAACCAGTGTGTCCAAGTATCAGATTCTTTTAAATGTGTATAATATTAGAAGCTGTGTGTCATTCATTATCAAAATGATTAATAGATTGAAACGTGTACCACAATGTTCTTTGTTATTCTTTTCTGGTGATATAAATAAAAACACTTTGAAATGATAAAGTTATGTCTCTTTGTATTTCAGGGGTATTCAATAAGAATTCAAAGAGGTCCAGTTAGAGAAAATTTCCCAACACAAAGGTCCGGAACATCAAAGCGACTAACTTGCGTTATCATTCAGTACCATAACGTATAGTTGTATCAACATGTGTTTTTAGTCAACAATGGACTGTCAAATCAAATAATATTTCAGTCAGTTTTCACATCAAACTGGTGTGTTTCCAAAACGTCTCTGGTGAATCTCGCGGACTCGACTCACAAGCATCGCAATGCACAGATTTGATTGGCTGAGCAGCGTTACACGAGACG